ATGTACCAAAATACACTCAGACATCATAAAACCCACCTATTATCACTAATGCAACTCATACCCCTCCTCGCGGCGGGATCACTTTTACTACCAACCAGCACATACAAGTGGCACATGCCGCCACCCATGAGCGGTACGTTCCCCTTGTATATGCCATTTTCGAACCTATCTTTACAACACATGTCACGGTCAGGGTGCCTTATGATATTGACCAATACGCCGAGATGGAGAGGGGAGCCAGATGTAAGGAAGAAGAGTCAGTATCTGAGTAGTTGCAAATGTTAAGAAGGCAAATGAAGAGCCTCCAAGTTGCCCGGGGAAGTGAAAGTTTAGACTACGAGGATATGTGTATTCATCCGGATGTGGATATGCCAGCAGGGTATAAACCCCCAAAGTTCTATATCTTCGATGGGACGGGTGATCCTCACGCAGATTTGAGGGCATATTGTGACAAGTTAGTCGAAGTGGGGAGGAACGAGAAGCTAAGGATGAAGTTATTTAAAAGAGGTTTGATGGGAGAAGCACTCACCTGGTATACTCGACAGGATCCGTAGAATTGGAGAACTTGGCAGGATATGGTGGAGGACTTCATGAATTGTTTTTGATTCAATACAGAGATCACTCCTGATCGGTTCACACTGGTGAACCTGCAAAAAAAAACCATCTGAGTTATTCCAAGAATATGCACGCTGGTGGAGGTCAGATGCCTCCATGGCGCAACCTCCGATGGACGACAGTGAACTAACTAAGCATTTCATCAGAGCCCAGGAGGGAGTATACTTTGAAAAGATGAGGGGAATGATAGGACAGAAATTCCCCGAGTTGGTCAAGATGGGAGATTTCTTAGAAGAAGGCATAAAATATGGTAAAGTACAATCCATGGCAGCACTACAAGCGGTCAACAAGGCCATCCAGTCAGGTTAATCGGTAGCGGAAAGAAGAAGAAAGAGGAGGTCTCAGCAGTCGTCCCTTACTACCAACACAACTCACATCACGGAAGCACTTCTTATTCCCCAAACAACCATTCACCACCACCCACTTATGCTCTAGTCTATAACACCCAGCCATACTACCACCCTCAACCATAATACAAACCTCTTCGAGCCAACAATAACCAAAACCCACAACGACTATATGCTTCTGTCCAAACCACTACTCACCAAAACTGACTTGCTTATGCATCACGCCCTCGTCCAAATTTTGAAGAAAGGGGTCCTAGAATTTATACTCCGATTGCTTAGCCTTTAGCCCAATTGTTTGAGAGATTGAGAAGAGCAGGTTTGATACACCCAGTCGAAGGAAGGGTTCCTGCACATCCCTCCAAGTATTTTGATGCCACTAAAAGATGCATGTACCATTCCAATGTACCTGGGCATGATACTGAAGATTGTTTTAAGCTAAAAATGAGATTAAAACCCAAATCAAGAGCAGGGCCATCCAGTGCACTCCTGCACCACCCAATGTGAATCGTAATCCACTGCCAAATTACCAAAACCAGGGAGCTAACATGATTACATTGGACGATGAGTATGACCTAAAGGGAACAATTATCACTATAGGAAATGCAGAAGCTGCTAAGATCACTCGTCAAAGAGATCCCATAATTATAGTACAACGGAGTCCTATAGTGACAGTTCAGACTTATTTGCAGTAACTTGCCGCTGCTACAGGAGACATAAAAAGTCGGGAATACAAAATTATCCCATGGACGTACCAGCAAAAAGGAAAGGCCAAAATGATAGACTCTGCTATAGCCCATGGTATGACTAGGTATGGGAGATGCTACGCTCCTGAAGATGTCAATCGAGGAAACCCGGGGAGAGAGAAAATTCAAAGAAGGAACATAACAGACCCAAAAGCTACTGAGTTTTGGAAGAGAATATCAAGCAAAGAGTATTCTGTAGAGGACCAGCTGAAGGAAACTCCAGCACATATAACAATCATCGATCTATTAATGAGTTCCGACAGTTATAAGGATGCCCTATTAAAGGTACTAAGTGGGGTGAGTGTACCAAGTAACACCATTAGTGAAGCACTGGCCACGACAATTGGGGAAATGGTCAAAGCAAACATGATCACTTTCAGAAGAGATGAACTTCATGTCGAAGGCGCAAGTCACAACAAGAATCTCTATATCACTGTCAAATGTTGGGTGTTGGTCAATGGAGGGTCAGAAGTCAACATTTGTTCGCTCTCTGCCCTACGGGAGTTGGGAATTCATTTGAGAGAAGTCAAGGAAAGCCACGTAAGAGCCTTTAATGGTTCACAAAAGGATATTATTGGAGAAATTTATTTGGCCTTGCATATCGGGCCGGTAGAATTCCCTATATTACTTTAAGTAATGGACATCTCCCCTTCCTACATCTTGCTGCTAGGAGGGCCCTACATATAAATGACAAGGGTCGTGCCATCCACCTTTTTACACCAATGTATGAAATTTGAGTGGGGATGTCAGGAGATCGTGGTTCATGGCGAGTATGTTATTCCATTCATTGAAGGGCTAGATGGAGTTGCTTTCCATGTAATGGAAATCATACAGACTACCGAGATGGAAAAGACTGAACAAAACTTGGGAATGCAGTCGCCGTATAGATCCAAGATGGCTGTGAGGGAGATTATTAAATATGGATACAGGCCAGGAACAAGGTTGGGAGCCAAGTTGGACGAAATCACAGAGCCAATTGAACATAATGGGCAGAAAGGAAAGACTGGCATAGGATACCATCCTCCAGAAGGGAAAGCTTGCATCGTTAGCTCTGGGACAAAGGTTTTTGTGCCAGAGCATGTTGCAAGTCCGAGACAGAGTTCAGTACCTGAAGATGATATCATCCGAATGGGAAAGTTGTTCGTGAATATAATTGAAGAATGTTGTGAAGGGACTGACATCAAGACACCGACTATCAGGTATGCCGAACCAGGGAAAGATTAGCGGAATTGGACCGCCAGGCCATCTTTGGTTCGCCGGGAGTCTTGGTAGTTGGGAACTGTAAAAGTATTCTTTTTGAAGAGTGCACGGTCAATTGAGGCATGCACCGTGTCTATACCTTTTTGTCATTTGCCTCTTGTGAACGCTTAAGATATTCCCCTTTTGATGAAATAAAAAGAATTATTTTATCGAATATTGCAACTTTATTTACCTCTTATTTATACTTAGCTTTTCTTTTCAGTAATCAAATTGCTAAAAACCCACGTTCTGTGATTATGACATGTAACAAAATTGTTGAGCGCAACGACTCGGATTATGAGAAGTATGACGATGGCATGATGCCCGACAATCTCCCGTAGGAGATTGAGCAGTTGGAGAGTTAGAAAAATTCCAATCTCAAAGAAATGGAAGTGGTCAATCTTGGAAGTTAAGAAGATGTAAAAGAAACCAGAATCAACATTCACCTAGAAGCCGAGTAGAAGGAAAAACTGATTGAGCTCCTCCAACAGTACATCGATGTGTTCGCATGGTCCTATGACGACATGCCAAGATTAAGTACTAACATTGTCTCGCATCGATTACCCATCGATCCTACCAGACCACCAGTCAAGAAGAAACCCAGAAGATTCAAACCTGATTTAAGTCTGAGGATAAAGAAAGAAGTGACTAAACAGATAGAAGTGAATATAGTAAGGGCCACCAACTACAAGCTGGTTGGAAATATCGTCCTAGTACCCAAGAAAGACGGAAATATCAAAATATGTATGGACTACTGAGATCTCAAAAAAGCCAGTCCTAAGGATGATTTCCCTCTGCCAAATATCCACATCCTTATCGACAATAGCGCGAAGCATGAACTATAATCATTTGTGGATTGTTTCGTTGGGTACCATCAAATCTTGATGCACGAGGAAGATGTAGAGAAGACGGCCTTCACCATACCTTGGGGAGTTTATTGTTATAGAGTCATGTCGTTCGGTCTCAAGAACGATGGCGCCACCTACATGAGGGCCATAACAACCCTCTTTCACGACATGATTCATAAGGAGATCGAAGTGTATATGGATGACATTATCATAAAGTTTCGAAAGAGTCTGGAGCACTTGGACGATTTGAGGAAATTTTTCGAACGCCTGCAAGGTACAATTTGAAGTTAAACCCAACAAAGTGTGCGTTTGGAGTCCCCGTTAGAAAACTATTGGGCTTCATTGTAAGCAGGAAGGGGATATAATTGGATCCTTAAAAAATCAAGGCTATTAAGGAATTACCACCACCAAAGAGCAAGAAATATGTCATGAGTTTCCTGGGTAGATTGAATAACATCAGTCGTTTCATAGCCTAGTCCACGGTAATCTGTGAACACATTTTCAACCTGTTGAAGAAAGATGTTGCCACAAAATGGACAGAAGAATGCCAGAAATCCTTCAACAGAAACAAGGAGTATCTCTCAAACCCACCAGTGATGGTTCCCCCCAAACCAAGGAAGCCATTCTTTCTCTACTTGTTAGACTTGGATAATGCCTTCGGCTGTGTGTTGGGACATCATGATGAAACTAATAGGAAGGAGCAGGCCATCTACTACTTAAGCAAGAAGTCCACTCCATGTGAGGCCAAGTATACTCTTATAGAACGCACTTGTTGTGCCCTGACTTGGATTGCCCAGAAACTAAGGCATTATATGTTGGCATATACCATGCACCTGATATCTCAGCTCGACCTACTCAAGTATATTTTCCAGAAGTCGACGCCTACCGGAAAGCTAGCTAAATGGAAAATTCTCCTTAGCGAATTTGATATTGTGTACATAACCCAAAAGGCTATCAAAGAACAAGCTTTAGCCGACCACCTCACAGAAAATTCAGTGGAGGGGGATTACGAGCCACTTACCACGTATTTCCCCGATAAAGAAGTGTTATTTGCTGGGGAAGATATTGCAGAATCGTACCCTAGGTGGAGAATATTTTTCGATGGAACAGAAAACTTCAAAGGAGTCTGAATTGGGGCAGTCCTGATTTCGGAATCTGGACAGCATTATCCAGCATCGGCAAAGATAACATTCCCTTGTACCAATAATATGGCTAAATGCGAAGCATGCATCCTTGGGATCAGAATGGCAGTTGACATGAATGTCAAAGGACTTTTGGTCATATGAGACTCTGATTTGTTGATACACCAAGTCCAAGGGGAATGGTCCACCAAGAATGTCAAGATACTTCCATACCTACACTGTGTGAAGGAGTTGTACAAAAAGTTTACAAAGATTGAGTTCAAGCACATTCCCAGGATTCAGAACGAGTTCGCTGATGCCCTTCCCACCCTATCATCTATGAGCCAGCATCTAGACAAGAACTGCATCGACCCTATCGAGGTAGAGATCATGGATCAGTACGCCTATTGCTTCCATGTAGATGAAGAACCAGATGGTAAACCATGGTATCACGACATCAAGAAATTCCTTGTAACCAGAGAATACGTGAAGGATGCTACTAATGGTCAAAATCGAGCCCTCAGAAGGCTGGCAAACCATGTTTTCCTCGACGGGGAAGTCATGTATAGGAGGACCCCAGACTTAGGTTTGTTGAGATGCATAGAAGCAGCTCAGGCAACTAGACTATTAGAAGAAGTACACGAGAGAACGTGTAGACCCTAGATGAATGGTTCACATTAGCCAAGAAGATCTTGAGAGCTTGATACTTTTGGATGACTATGGAAAGTGACAGTATCCGCTATATGCAGAAGTGTCACCAGTGCCAGATTCACGGGGATTTCATCCGGGTTCCACCAAATGAGTTAAATGTAATGGGTTCACCTTGGCCGTTCGCCGCCCAGGGCATGGACGTGATTGGACCTATAGAGCCTACCGCATAAAAAGGACATCGTTTCATCTTGGTAGCTATCGACTATTTCACCAAATGGGCAGAGGCATCTACTTACAAGGCCGTCACAAAGAAGGTAGTGGCAGATTTCGTCCGAAGCAGCATCATCTGCAGATTTGGGATACCTGAATCTATCATCACTGACAATGATGCTAACCTCAACAGCGACCTCATCAGATAAATCTTCGAGAAATTCAGAATCGTCCACCGCAATTCCATAACCTACATACCACAGATGAACGGGGCAGTTGAGGCAGCTAACAAGAATATCAAGAGAATTATGCGAATGATAGTGGACAATCACAGGCAATGGCACGAGAAACTGACTTTCGCTTTACTAGGTTATTGGGCTACCATGAGAATATCCACTAGGTCAACGTCGTACATGTTGGTATACGGTACGGAAGCGGTGATACCCACACAGGTCGAAATACTGTCTTTGAGAGTCATTTAAGAGGCAAAGTTGGATGATGCAGAATGGATACGAGTTAGAAAGGAGAAACTCATGCTCATTGGTGAGAAAAGAATGGATGCAGTATGTCATGGTCATCTATATCAGAGCAGGATGGCCAGTTCATTTAACAAGAGAGTGAAGCCTCGCCAGTTCGCACCGGGGCAGTTGGTCTTGAAGAAAATCTTTCCCCACCAAGAAGAAGCCAGGGGAAAGTTCACACCTAACTGGCAAGGTCCTTATGTGGTTCACCGAGCATTTTTGGGTGGAGCTCTAATCTTGGCATAAATGGACGGAAGATTCAACACGAAGCATATCAACTCAGATGCAATCAAGAGATACTATGTTCGAAGACAAATAGAGTTAGGTTTTGATGTAACAGAATTACGCTCAATCTGACTTCCCATGGAGGGATACGTAGGCAGCCCACACAGGGTTCGGTATCTCTCCCCCTTCCTCTTGTAATAGAAAAACCAAATATCATTTTTGTACGTTGATCAGGAACTACACGACTTGATTTCCTCAGAAAGGAATACGTAGGCAATCCTCATCAGATTCAATCGCCTTTTGTAATTGAACTATGTTCTGGCCTGATTCCACTTGGATACGTAGGCTGTCTGAGTCAGACTCAGCCATTTTGATTCTTAATCTCATCATTTTGCATCTGCTATTATCGAACTACATCTTGACCTAATTCCATTTGTGTAACGACCCGACCGGTCATTTTGACCATTTGTACTTTGCTCGGTAGTTTGAGGGCATGATTGGGAATCGATTTGGAAGAATGAATTTCATGATTTAAGCTTTAAGTTGGAAGAGTTGACCAAGTTTGACTTTTGTGAATTTGACCCCAGAACAGAGTTTTGATGGTTCCTTTAGGTCCGATTGGTGATTTTGGTCTTGGATGTATGCCCGGATTTGCATTTAGATATTTCTAGAAGGATTCGGCACTAAACGGCGAAAGTTGGAAATGTGAAGGTTTGAAAAGTTCATAAGTTTGAATGGGAGTTGACTTTGATGATATAGGGTTTGGATTGTGGTTCTGGGAATTTGAATAGCTTCGTTATGTCATTTGGGACTTGTGTGCAAAATTTGGGTTCATTCCGGGTTGATTTAATATGTTTTAGCGCGAGTTTTGGAAGTTGAAAGTTCAAAGTTCATTCTAGTTTGAATTGAGGTACAATTCATCATTTTGATGTTGTTATGTATGATTTCAGGCCTCGAGTAGGTCCGTATTATGTTATGAGACTTATTGGTATATTCGGACGGGGTCCCGAGGGGCTCAGCTGAGTTTCAGATGAGGTTCGGACCATTTCGTTGCATGTTGTATTTGGTTAAGGCTGCTGGTTTTGGTGTGACTGCATCTGCGGACAATTAGTCACATAAGTGATATTGCAGATGTGGGGCCTTCTTCATAGAAGCGAGGTGAGACTTGGGCAAGGAAGATCGCAGAAGCGGAAACTGGGGCGCATCTCAGAAGCGATGGTCTTGGGTGCATGAGCGAGCTTGAGCACAGAAGCGTGTTTGGCTTCGCACCTGCAGTTGCGTAGAAGCGGATGGAGATCCGCAGGTACGAGGGGTCAGCTGGCTAGTGGAGTCCGCAGAAGCGGAGCTTGTGTCACAGAAGCGAAGCCGCAGAAGCGGCTCATATGTCCGTAAAAGCGGAAATGGCTGGGCAGAAGCCTTTGAATCGAGAGTTTGGTCATTTTGTTCATATTTTGAGATGTGGGACTCGGATTGAGGTGATTTTGGAGGCAAATTTCATCACAAGGATTGGGGTAAGTGTTCTACACTTGATTTTGATTTTATTTCGTGATTTTGTCTTCGGTTTTTTGTAACTGGGTTATGAATTTTAAAAATAAATTGGGGGTTTTGGCGTAAAGTTTCATAGAGATAGTTTTTGGAGTTTTGAACATCGATTCGGAGTCGGATTTAGGTGAAACTAGTATGGTTGGACTAGTAATTGAATGGGTTGTCGGATTTTGTAAGTTTCATCAAGTTTTAATGCGCGGGCCCGGGTTGGACTTTTGGGTCGATTTTAGGCTTTTGATTAAAGATTCGATCTTTATCGATTGGGTTAGTTCCTTTGGGATTAATTAATATATTTGAGTTGATTGTGGCTAGTTTCAAGCCATTCAGAGGTCGGTACGCGCGAGATGGCATTTTTGAAGCATCGCTTGGCTTGCTCGGCATTGAAATTGGCTTGTTCGATGTAAGCAACACTTCTAAACTTGGTGTTGAGGGTATGAAACCTTAAATTACGTATTATGTGTTGGTGTTGAGGTGACGCACATGCTAGGTAACTGGTGTGTGGGCGTGCAACGTGTGAATTGTGACTCCGTTATTTCTGTGGTACTGTGTAGTTACCTGATCTTATTTGTAACCATGAAATATCTACGTACTAGAGCTATTGAGCTGTGATCCATGTTAGAAACCATGTCTAGGCTACATGCTTATTCTGTTGGGACCCACTGAGGTCATTTCTGTTGTAGAGTTATTTGCTTACATTACAATTTCATACTCAGTCATGTTCATTCATTTTATATCACATCTCAGTCTCTGTTGCTATATATTGACACATCATATCATCATTTTTGGGGCTAGTTTCATGGCATCGTGAGCCCGAGAGACTGGAGAGATTGATGAGTGAGTGAGGCCGAGTGCCTGATTGTGAGTGATATTATAGGATCGGGCTACACGCTGCAGCATACTATATTAATTTATGCTTGGATCTGGCTTATTATGGCGCTTGGGCTGAAGGAGCCCCTACGGAGTCTGTACACACCCCTAGTGAGCGTAGTTGATTATATTGAAGGATGGATCTTCCCTGGGCATGGATCATTCCCGAAGCATTTATATTTGGGGATGGATCTTCTCCAGATTGGATTGNCTAAACATTGGTAGTATATAATGCGCTAACACGACTTGCATAAGAAGAACCAAGCGTAACCAACTGTTTGTATTGTGCATGATCATCCCAAGAGAGCCCCATATGCTGGAAAATTGCATAAATGATATTGAACTTGAGTGCTGCAAATCCAAGCTGATTAACTACTTCAAATGGTGCCTAGGGTTAGATTTCACTATATATATATATATATATATATATATATATATTTGGGATGGATCTTCCCTGGCCCGAATCAGCCATATACAGTACTGAGTGACTGAGCGTGTCGAGTGATTGAGCATGATGAGTGGAAAGTGTGAGGCAGTGAGATTGAGTACTCTGAGAGTGTGAGTTCATCACTAAGATACATTGCATTTGACATGCATACTTGAGATACATGCATAGAGATGCATTTCTTTCTGCCACTTCGGTTTTGGTGTCATTCATGATTTCACCTGCATATTGACATGTAGGCATAGAGATGTATTTTTCTCATTCCATTTGATAAAGAAACATCTTATATGTATTTGAAAAGATTATTTTGGGAAAAATCACAGTTTTCAAATTTACTCATATAGTTGGTGATTTCGGTAAAAGATTTGGATTTTCACTAATATACTTGAAAAGCAGGCTTATTTTTCTGGAACTGTGAATGAGCTGAGTATTTTTTCTTTGAGCTACTTCTTTTATTACTTATATTATATTGTTATGAACTGTTGTTGGCTATTGGTGTTGTACCTCAACCTGTGTTCCAGCTCGTCACTACTTTCAACATAAGGTTAGGTTTGTTATTTATTGAGTACATGGGGTCGATTGTACGCATACTACACTTCCGCACCTTGCGTGCAGATGTTGGATGTTGATGTTGCTGTGATCGACGGAAGCTGGATTTGAAGATGTACCTGCGTTTTGGTTGTAGTTACCTCTTGTTCATGGTAGCCTTAGATTTATAAAAATCTGTTTATGTACATTTTGAATAGATGATGTATTTATTTCATACCAGGTTTGTAAATTCTAATCTTAGAAGCTTATGATTTGTTCTACCAGTCCTTGGGAATTTTTGTATAAAGGCAATTTTATTATCATTTCTTTCTTGAAAAATCTCATTAATTTGGATAGTTGTTAATTGTCTAACCTGACGGGTTGGATTAGGTGCCATCACGACTAGGTAAATTTTGGTTTGTGACAAGTTGGTATCAGAGCTCTAGGTTCGTAGGTTCTACAAGTCATGAGCAAGTTTCTAGTAGAGTCTTGTGGATCGGTATGATGATGTCCATACCTATCTTCGAGAGGCTACAGGGTATTTAGGATAAACTTCTCATCTTTCTTTCCTTATCGTGCGGCATTGATTCAGCTTGAAGCATAACTCTTTAAATTCCCTCCACACATTCGTGTGCGCATGTGAGCGCTCGATATCAACTATGCATCGACGA